AAGAAAGCGAGAAAATAAAGGGAAAAAATGTCAACTTCACATCATAGAGTGAACATGCAATGATAAATTAACATATATACAAGTAAACACAAATAAACAATAACAAGTTAAAACAAAAGAATCGATGATAAACACCTCCCTTGCATTACCCTCCAATCCCTTCCTCCCGAAGTCTATCATTACAGCCCCCTTCCCAAATTACTGTGTGTAATCATGAAAATCAGTCTGGATTACGCCTTTTATACCTTCCCCTCACCCTTTTTTGCTCTCCCTCCTCCCCACTTTCCCCTTCCTGCCAGTCAGAGTCTGTGGATATTCTGTCTCCTCGTTTGACTAGTCTATGTGACAGTTTCCTCTCTGTGGTCCCTCTAGCAAGTAGTCTGAGAGTATATATATCCCCTTTACTTATGATACACTTGGCTTCTTCCCCATGACAGCTTCCATATCCTCTCTCTTCCTCTTTTTACATCTTTCACATTTTATATTTCTTTTTTAATTCAAAGTTACATGGTTTCTGGCGTAAATGATAACTATCATTCCCTACATTATGTGTTGAATGAGGTATCCCTTCCTACACCTTACATAATTCATAAAGTCATTTCCTTTCTTCCTCTGTGACATACCTTTCTCATACCTGGCACTCAATTACACATGTCAGCCCCCTTCCTTATCCACTTTTGTAAACATACCTGGCATCCGAACAGAGGAGCACCTGAGACGAACGCAAGGCAAACCAGACTTAAGAAAACAGTTGCCAATGACGTCTTCATCATTAGAGTTGACTCTGTGGTGTGGCACTTCTATCGTGTGTCATCACTTTTTGAGGCACTTATGCTGCGTGTCACCATCTTCTGAGGCACTTTTGCTATATGTCACCATCTCTCGGGTGTCATGCTGAGTGACTGGAGCAATGGCACTGCGCCTTTCTTCTCCGCGTTCACTTCTTTGCAAATTGCATTCGGTGTTGTGGTGATGACGGTGTGATGTTGCAAACCACTTCTCTGAGTCGGGATGGCATGCAGGCATTTCCTCTAACGGCACCGTGAGAGCAATAGGGTGAGAGGAGACACGGGAAGTGATAATTATACGAGGAAAGGAAAAGGCTGGAGAGGAAGAGGAGGAATGCTAAATATAACAGGTATGTGCGAAGACTTTGCGTAAAGGATAAACAAACAAATAAGATGGCAGTGAATATACAATATAAAATAAATTGAGTACTAATCCGGAAAATGCAAAAAGGAAAGTGTGTATCTATATGGCATTACGTACAAGCTATTTGAGGAAACATTCGATCGCATAGCGGGCTTTTGTTCTGTTTATTTAACACGAGCTGCACAATCTCTAGGCTTTCTGTAATTCCACTAGCCCTCTTGAATTCTCTTTACTCAAGGCTGTCTGCGATTTCGTTTCCCTGGTATTTAAGCACATGCGCGATGTGTACATATATACTTACAAGAGATTCAGCAAACCTTGACTAATCAACTTTTTAGAACAAGCACAGCTCAATTCACTACAGTATTGCACCACTGTATTGATAAATTCAACGTCATGGATAATTCACCTCGCTCTTTTCTCTCAAAAC